TTGAATGGTTTGTTAAATGTTTCATGACGTTCCAGCCTCCAGCTGCGAGTGGCACAGAATAGAAGGAGGAGGAGGAGGAACGAGACGGATGAAGAGGAGGAGGAGGAGGAGGAGAAGGAGAAGCGCATTTGGGCGCCTGTGGGCGACAGTGATTGCCTTTGTGATGATGCGTCTGGTCGCCCTTCTGGCGGTGTGGCGTTGTGATCTCCGCGTGCCCCATCCGCTGGAAGGGATGAAGAGGAGTTCCAGCAAACTCTGTACAAGACACGGTTTTGCAAGTCAGAGGGCCAACACCCAGTGTAACAAACGTGTATCCAGTGTTTAATTTTGCTGTGGGTAAATGCGACTTCAAGTGTATATGTATATATATGTACACATAACTGGCAAACCTGAGCAAACGTGTTGCTTACAGTGGTTGCTGGCCTTCGAACCTGAAACAACATGTTTGCACGATTGCTGACAGTCCGAGCCCGCTCGTGCGGAACTCTTTGGTGACTCTATCATTCAGCCTGGTGGCGCTCAAATAATAACGACCCCTTATAAAAGATTCATTAACACGAAATCTTTAGCAATCATGTTTTAGCGAGGATTCCTCAGTAGACATTCCGTGTTAAGGACATTACCAAATAACTATTCCTCAGGGAGGACTTTGTACTAGTTGGCCGCAACAAAAGTTCCCGTGGAAACGCACAAGACCTCAATAGGACCCAAACCGATGCCAAGGCGGCCCCGCGACTCCAGTGCGTTTCCAAGATGGCCCCAAAACACAAATCAACCCGACATTGAGGCAAATTCGTGTCGGGACGACCCCGGCGTTGATTTCCGACACCGCGCGAATCGTTCAACCTCGCATGATCGGCGGCATTCCGATCGCCAGATCGTTCCGTATTGCCGATGCCACTGGCGGCGTTCAACCTTGAACGCCCGCGGCGGGGTCGCCGTGGCGTCAACGCGACGCGAACCCATCGCGCCCTTAAGGCGACCTGAAAAGGGCCCAATGATCCGCACGTGATGTCGACGTGGCTTCCCGCAGGCCGCTGGGCAACCCAAAGGCGGCCCGACGAATATGCAACAGGCGATCAAAGGATGTCTCAAGGACCATACGATGGCCCCCAAACGGGCACAAAGTGGCCCAAGCAATGCCAGAGCACGATACCATGGCCCTGGCGTGGTCCTGATGCGCTCTCGAGATGACACAACGCCAATACGAGATCAAGCTGCGGAATTTGCATCTCGCACGGAAGCAAAGGGAACCAAACTTTTTTATGGGTAGAGTCTACAACATGACTAGATTGCATCACTGGAGCCGGATCCCAGCCAGGCCGCGCAAGACGAGTGTCTAGCTAGGCTTCTGAGGGGGTAGGGGGGGTTCAATGCCCCCTGGGCCCTCGTCCCCTTCAAGACTGCCGTCGCGGTGAACTCATGTCGGTGAGCAAGATGCTCATTCGGGCGCACTCGTAAACGTTCACAGGACTTTCGGCACGGCGATTTATGGATTTCTTCAGTAAGAATACTTCTTCTGAACGACTCCTTAGTAATGGCTCATTATTGTTTTACCTTTTCCTGTAAAAGATTACTCGTTACATATTCTACAGTGAAGACTCTTTTGTTAAGGATTATTCAGAGAGGATTCCTCACTCAGTATTCCGAATCGAGAAATCCTTAAGAAGGCTTTGTAAAAAGTAGGCCTTCGGTTAGGATTCCTTCGTAAGGATTCCGATACCTCTTGCTCGTGGCTCCTCGTGTCAAGCCGAATGGCCAACACAAATCGAAAAGAGGTGGCTTTGAGGGCCAGCAACCACTGTAACAACCATGTGTGTCAGGTCTGTCTGAAAAACCTGACACACTTTTTCAGGCTTTGGTGGAAGTATGCGCTCTCAGGCTGATGGGTTCACGAAGGCATGGGACACCGAACGCGATGCATGTGTAGTGCACTGGCTGCTGGCCCTTGGACCTGGAAAACTCGTGTATTCACAATGGTTGTTCGTCCGAGCCCGCTCGTGCGGCACTCTTTGGGAGCTCTGTCATTCAACCTGGCGGCGCTCAAATCACAAACATTCCGTATCAAAAAAGATGCATTAGTACGGGCTCCGTCGGGATTTCCTCGGTAATGATCCTGCCTGAAGGATTTGTCAGTAATGACTCTATGTTAAGAAGTGCGTTTGTAAAGGATTCTGCGTTGCGGATTCTACAGAGAGAACTCTTTCGTTCAGGAACAGTCAGGAAGGATTCCGTACTAAGGATTCCTCATCGAGATGTCCTTAGGAAAGCTCTGTATGAAGGACTCTGCAGTAAGAGTTATTGAGTAAGGATTGCATGGCAAGCGCCCGTCGCTAAAGATTTTCTGAGTAATGTTTCCTTGGTTAAGATTAGTTCAAACGAATGTGTTGGAAATGGTCCATTTAGACGGGTTCCCTTGGCAATGGTTTGTCCGTAGAAACTACTGAGTCCCACCAGCCCTTTAGGGCGTGAGTAGTTTCGAGCGCTTCCTCTTCCAACCCTTTGTTCTTATTTTTTGCGGGGGTTACCACTGATAGCTCTAAGATACAACACTCTCCCCCAAGCGACCGGCAGCCAACCAGGACCAATGTCAGCCCCCACCCCTCCCTGTAAAAAAGTACATGCACTGTTTTGGTTCACCAGGTCAGCGGGGGTGCCCTCATATTGCCTGCTTTGCGCAAGGCAAGAAACAATACAGCATGCACTTCGCGGCCGATTCTGGATCATGCGCGGCCACCCCCCGATCACTGTCCATAGGTGTTTGACAAGGCCAGCGGAGTTGCTTGTTGCCTGCTGTGTGCAGGTCCACCAGACACCACTATGGCCTCCCCGCCGCGATTGCGCACTGGTTTTCAACAAGGAGGGTGGGGACCGACATGTTTCCCGATGTGTGCTGTCACGTGCACGGGTGCACCTGGCACACTCTGCGCGTGTCCCAGACGTGATGCACCTGGCGCGGCTGGACCATGCGGCACACGTGGCGCACGTGGAGCACGTGGTGCATCTGGGGCGCGAGGCGTGCCTGGCACGCTTGGGCCCCAGGAGTGCCTGGCGCACCTAGAGCGCCTGGCACGCGTGGCGCACCTCGGCCCATCGCGCACATGGCGTCTGTGCTGGTTCCCACTAACTGCCCATCCATGCACGACCACTGAACATGCTAAGGCTGGGTGCTACTTATGTGTTGGGAGGGCGGTAGGGAATGAGCGAGACGGTTTGCGGGCGGGGAGGGTATCTTGACCCCTCCCCCTACCCCCTACCCGTGGACATGGACGGGGGGGTCCGCGAGGCGTTGGAGCGTCCAAGATGGCATTGGCTCGAAGGCAAAACTCATTGCTCGTATTTTTGTCACGGCCCGCGCGTGCCTGCGAAGGGGCACTGACGCCCCTCGCCCACGAAAGATCCTACAGCGAGCGCCGATCTGAGCCGAGAGGCGGGATGGACTTCAAGAGCCAAGGCGACCACGGGGCCTCCGCGGTCGGGGTGGCTCTCCTGGATGGCGGCGAGCTAGATGCCTAGCGCAATCGAGACCCGGTGGAGAAACGCGTCGCGGCAGCAGACTCAGTCCACAGAGCCAGAGCGGCTGTAAAAAAGGCGCGTAGCAACGGCGCAAGTGGTTCGCAGACGCGTACCATCTACGATGCAACGTCCCCACTTTCCCCCTGTTATCATACGAGGCATAGGGGTGAGAGGGTCTAACTAGACTAAACAACGAGAGCGGCAGTAGGCATCCTGGCCAGCGGTCAACCCCGCACGAGAGCAGGACCTCTGACACTTGCGGGCTAGGCTGCGGCGAGAAATCTATCGTGATCGCTGGTGGGAAAATCTCATTCCTTGTTTGTCTTCTGCCCGTATTCTGCACGAGGCAGCTGCTGCGTCGCCAACGCGTATTCACTTCGCGCGCGCGCCACCCACCAGCGGGGAAGATCCGCCGTACCATCACGCCACTAAAAAGTTACCGCTCCCCCCTCCTCGCGCAGGCCCCTCCTCACAGCGCCGCGCGCCCGCGCAGGCCAGCACTCCCTGCCCACCCCAATTGCGCACAGCAGGCCTGCGCACATTGTCTACAAAAAGGAGGAAACCTGGAGGGAATTCATACCGAGCTGGGCTGCCGGTCAGAGGCGCCCTCATCACCTGAGCAGCAGCTCGCTCCAGCTGCGCCATGACGCGGAGGAGGAGGAGGAGGAGGAGGAGGACGAAGAGTAAGAGGAGCAGCTGTAGAAGGAGGAGAGGAGCAGTCGCTCCAGCTGCGCCGAGACACGGCAAAGAGCACTCGGGGAGAGGCCCGAGAAGCCAGAAGCACACGGCGATGGAGGCCTCACCACACAAACCGGGTGCCAAGCATGCAATGGAAAATATGGACCGTCCGTGACTGGTCGTCCTATCTACAAAAAAACTGACGCCGAGACCCGACTTGACGCCCCACCCCCTGATGCTCCTATCTGTTGAGAGGGGGCGCGCACAGGTCGACGCGCGCCCACGCGAGCTCCGTCAAGACTGAGACGCGGGGCAGCGAGCTGCGGCGTCCTCCAAAGAGTCCAAAACCCTTGCAATTGCCCCCTGGGCCTCAAGCGGGGCGTCTCCCAGCTCGCAGCGGCGGGGAGAACAGGCCGGCCCCCGATCAGAAGCAGAACCAGGGCAGAAGCCAAAGAGGCCACACGGGAACTCCTGCCGGGTGCGAGCACGCCCCCTGCCCCACCACCAGACGAACGGAGCGACAAAGAGCGGAGAAACTCCTGCCCTCCTCTACCTCCCGCCCATCCACCGACCTCCCTTCTCCTGTGGGAGAGCCGGAGAGAGAGCGCGCGCGGCAGAGGGCGGCCAAGCCCATTCGCACGGCCGGGGGCGGGGTCGGGGGATCGAGTCAAGAGGGGGAACGTCTTGCGCTGCCCCCGAGCGTGGCCCGCCGCCATGCGCGAGGGGCACCGTGCCCGCCCCAACCTCTCGCGCTCTTGCGCTCTCGCGCTCTGCGCCTTGCGCTCTTGCGCGCGCCCCTCTGCGCGTCAGAGGTCGGCGCCGTGGCGCTCCACGTCGGCGCACTCCTCGGCGCGCGCGCGCCCAGCGCGCCCGCACTCCTCGGCGCCGCTCGGGAGCAGGAGCGCGCCGGCGCCCGCCGTGGTCAGCGCCACCGCGCCGGTGGCCAGCATGGCGGGGAGCGCCAGCGTGGGCGCCACGAAGCTCTCCAGCGCCGCGAGCGTCAGGTGGGTGAGCTGCTGGCCGACCACGAGGCCGCAGTTCAGCAGGGCCATCTGCAGCGCGGTGCTGACGGGGAGCCCCTGCTCCTCGGCGGCCTTGTTGCTGGCGGCGATGAGGCCCCAAGGAATGCCCTGCGCGCCGACGCAGGGCAGCACCGACAGCGCCATGCAGGCCGTCGCGAAGGTGGCGTTGTGCTTCACGAAGAATGCGGCCGCGTAGCTGGTGCCCGCCCCGACGAAGATGCAGGCGGCGTAGGCGCCCTTGGGGGGCAGCGTGGTCCGGTGGAGGGCGACGACGAGGAGCAGGGACATGAGCAGCTTCAGCAGCGACCCGCACTGCCCCCCGTACGCGAACGCCTCCTGGCCCGAGGCGTACGAGCGATGGGCCGCGGAGCCCGGGGGTGCGGCGGGATCGCCCGCGAACACGCAGAGGCCGAACCACTGCACGGAGTACGAGAGCCACACCGTCGCTCCGACGAACACCAGGCAGTGCACGCCGGCCAGGTGCCGCAGCAGCGTGGAGCTCCCCCGCACTGCCTGAAGCACGTCCGACACGGGGCTGGACTGCCTGGCGGCGCCGTCCCCCGCCGGCCGCGTCTCCGTGGCCACACAGAGCATGACGGCGACCGCCGCCGTGAGAATGCAGCACACCACGACCATGATCTCGGAGAGAGCGTGATCCACCGCCGCTTTACTGTGGAAAATTCCCCCCTCTTCCGCTGGAACCGGGGTTCCCCCCCCCCTTCCCTTCGAAAATCCCCCCCACACTGCTGGACCCCCCCCCTTACCCTCGGCAACCCCCCCCCCCTGAACCCCTCCCCCCCTCCGGAAAACCGTGGGAGGTCACTACCGGTTCGACCCCCCCCCCCTCCAAAAAGCCGAGAGGAGTCACTACTGGTTCGAACACACCCCCCTCCAGAAAACCAGGGGTGTCACTACCGGTTCGAACAGGGCCCCTCCCTCCAGAAAACCGGGGGTGGTCACTATCGGTTCGAACCCCCCCACCCACCCCCCTCCGAAAAGGAGGGGGGGTCACTACCGGTTCGAAGCCCCCCCCCCAAAAAACGGAGGGGGGGTCACTATCGGCTCGAGCACCCCCCCCAACTCCAGAAAACCAGGGGGGTCACTACCGGTTCTAACCCCCCCCCTCCCTCCAGAAAACAGGGGGGGTCACGGTTCGAAACCCTCACCCCCCTCCAAAAAACCGGGGGGGGTCACTACCAGTTCGAACCCCCCCCCCCTTCCAAAGAACGGGGGGGGTCACTACCGGTTCGACCCCAACCCCCACTCACCGCCGGCAAATGACTCCCGGGTCCCCAACACCGTCCGCACCACATCCACCACTGCTGTCCCCAGCGCGACTGTCCCCAGCACCACTGTCCCCACTGTTCCCACCCCACCACCGTCCCCACTGTCCCCAGCAGTGCCCCCACCACTGTCGCACTGTCCCCACTGTCTCCTTCACTGGTCCCACCACGGTCCCACTCTCCCCACTTTCCCCACGGTCCCCACCACTGTCACATTGTCCCACTGTCCCCACTGTCCCACTGTCCCCGCCGCTGTCCCACTGAGCTGTCCCACTGTTCCCCCCACAGTCCCCACTGTCCTCACCACTGTCCCCACCGTACCTCTGCCCCATTGTCCCACCACCGTCCTCGCCACCGCCCTCACCACTGTCCCCACCACCACTGTCCCCACCACTGTCCCACTGTCCCCACACCACTGTCCCCACCACCACCGTCCCAACCACTGTCCCACAGTCCCCACCACCGTCCCACTGTCCCCACTGCTCACACCATTGTCCCCGCTGTCCCCACCAGTGCCCCCACAAGTGTCTCACTGTCCCAACTCTCCCCACCATTGTCCCACCTCTCCCCATGGTCCCCACTGTCCCCACCACTGTCCCACTGTCCCCACTGTTCCCACCAATCTCCCACTGTCCCCACTGTCCCCGCCACTGTCCAACGTGCTGTCCCACTGTCCCCACAGTCCCCACCACTGTCCCACTGTCCCCAACGTCCCCGACACTCTCCCCACTGTCCGACCACCGTCCTCACCACCGCCTTCACCACTGTCCCCAAAACTATCCTCCACACCACTGTCGCACTGTCCCCACTGTCCCCACCACTGTTCCGCTGTCTCCTCACCACTGTCCCCCCTACCACCGTCCCCACCACTGTCCCACTGTCCGCACCACTGTCCCACTGTCCCCACACCACTGTCCCCACCACTCTCCCACTGTCCCAACTGTCTCCACCACTCTCCCCACTGTACTACTGTCCCACCACCGTCCTCACCACCACCTTCACCACTGTCCCCACCATTACCGTCCCCACCACTGTCCCACTGTCCCCACTGTCTCCACCACTGTCCCGCTGTCCCCTCACCACTGTCCCGTCCCCAGTACTGTCCCACTGTCCGCACCACTGTCCCACTGTCCCCACACCACTGTCCCCACCACCACCGTCCCGACCATTGTCCCAGTACGCCCCCCACTGTCCAACTGCCCCGATGAACGGGAATCGTTTGCCAGCGGCGAGGGGGGGGTGGGGGGTTCGAACTGGTAGTGACGCCCCCTCCTTTTCATGATGGACTGGAGGAGGGGGGGGGGTCGAACCGGTAGTGACCCCCCCTCGGTTTTCGAGGGGGGGGGGGACGGGTTGGGAACCCCCAGTGACCCCCCCCCGGTTTTCCGCCAGCAGCGGTAGAACACGCTCTTACTGACCTCGAGCATGTGCTCCGAGAGGCCGCCGTCGCCGCCGTAGACCTTCATGATAGAGAAGCCGACCAGGAAGCCGACCGCCTGGAAGCAGGCGACCAGCACCTGCACCTGCACCTGCTGACCGCTCGACGCGAGGTCCGCCACCAGCACCCTCATGGGCGTCTGCAGCGCGTTGAGCGCGATGTCGATCAGCCACAGCATGCAGGCCGCAAAGCCGGCGGCCGCGCCGGCGGGCAGCAACGCCGCGCTGGAGGCGAAGAGGAGCCCGGACACCCACAAGGCGCCGAGCGCGGCCACGATGATGGGCCTCCTTCGCCCGTAGGCCGAGGTCGACGAGTCGGACAGCGCGCCCACCAGCGGGCAGGTGAAGAAACCGCAGATCGGGCCCGCCACGTTATTGAGGGTGGCCGATGCGGGGCTCATCCCGAGCTCCACCAGGTAGGGGGCGCTGCACGGCATGATGACCGACCACACGACCGTGATCGACATGCACGGAAGCGCGACGAAGCTCAGCCGCCACAACGGCCACTCGTTCTGCGCTCCCGCCTTGGCAGCCGACTCTAACGGATCCGTGCTGAGGAGGGCAACAGCGTCCCCCCGCCCCTTCGACCTCATCCGCACTACCTTGCTGACGAGGGCGGTTGAGTCCCCCTTCCCCTTCGTCTGCACCATCGCACCGACCGCCGACATTTGAATCGGCACCCCTCCTGGACAGCGACGGCCTGCCCGCTCTCACGCGTTCGGGTTGTGGGCGAAGGTTGGAATGCGGCGGCTGGACGTCCAATAGGCCTTGAGCCAAAACTCATTGTTTGTACTGAGGTGTTGGGCCCACATTGGCCTCCAGGGGGGGGGGTGCGGCGCTAATTGAGTAGACCCGCGTATTTGATCGATCCCCTCCAAGATGGCTCCAGGATGGCCTCCGAGGCACCCATGGGTGCCCCACGAGGGTGCCAAGAGGTGCACAGGAGGCCCCGAAACGTCCCCCAGAGGTCCCCACGGGGCTCCCAAGAGAGACCCCCAAGAAGCCCAGAGAAGCTCTCCCGAGGCACGACGCTCTGGGAGCCCCCCAAGACCGCCAAGAGGCCACCAAGACGCGCCAAGAGGACTCCAAGAAACTGTTAGGATGCATCCGAAGAGACTTCGAGAGGCATCCACGAGGCCTCTGGCTATTCTGCTCGCCCTCCTCCTCCTCCTCCTCCTCCTCCTCCTCCTCCTCGTTCTCCTCCTCATCCTCCTGCTCTTCCGCCTGTTCCTCCTGCCTCCTCCCTTTTCCCCCGCTCCCTCCCCCCTCCCCTTCCTCCTTCTGCCTCCTGCCTTTTCCCCCCCTCCCTTCCCCCTTCCCCTCCTCCTCATCCTCCTCCTCCTCTCCTCCTCCTCCTCCTCCTCCTCATCATCATCATCATCATCATCATCATCATCATCATCATCATCAGCATCATCATCATCATCATCATCATCATCAGCATCAGCATCAGCATCAGCATCAGCATCATCATCATCATCATCATCATCATCATCATCATCATCATCATCATCATCATCATCATCATCATCATCATCATCATCATCAGCCCCCAGTTTCGGCTCGCGAGGAGGAGGACCCCCCCCACCCCTGGGTGCCTGCCAGGCAGGCGAAGGAGCGTTCCCCCCCGCCCCCCATCGCGCGCTGGGACCAGCGCCCACGGCGCCATCGCGGGAGGCGGCGGCGCACCACTGGGCGCGTTCGCGCCGCGCGAAGGATCGCGCCCTCCTCCGCACCTGGTGTGGCAGGCCTTCGCCCGCGCTGCAGGAGCGCCTGTGGCGAGCGGCGAGGTGGCTGGAGGAAGCAGGATGGCGCCTGCCCCCCCCCCCCGAACTGCGTGTCTTGCGGGGCCCCAAGACGCTGTTCTGGGGCTGCTCCTGCGGCAAGGCCAACAACTGGGCGTCGCGCATCACGTGCTCCTGCGGGAAGTCGGCTCCGCGGCGCGCGGTTGATGCTGCCAGGCTGGCGGATCAGGACCTTCGCGCCAAAGAAGGGCAACGACATCCTGCAAGGGCGGGTGCTGATACCTCAGGACAGCCGGTACGCAAGCTCGCCCCGTGGTCCAAGGAGTACGTCGGCCTCGGGGAGCAGATGCGGGCGCTCACGCAGCAGGCGGCTGGGCTCGCGAAGAAGGCATCGGCACCTTGCACGGGCGCAGCTGCGCCCGAGCCGAATGGCGGGCCCAAGGGGGGGCCGGGCGGAGACCAGGCCAGCCTCCACCAGAGGACCGCCTTGCAGGAGAAGGTCAGCTAGCGCGAGAAGGGCCTCAAGGGGTGCAGCAGGGTTGAGGAGGACGGTGGGCCACTGAATCTCCTTCTGCAAGCACTCGAGACCTCCAGCAGCAAGCACGGGCACCTCGCCCGCCAGGGGCGGCGCACAAAGCCACTGCAGAGCGACCACAGTGGCTTGCAGGAGCAGCTTGCGAGTGTCGCCGAGAAGATCCAGGAGAAGCAGGAGGCCATCGCGGCAAGCGGCGCTGAAGTGGAGGTCTCCATGCTGGAGGCGGACATGCTGGAGCGCGCGCTGCTGGAGGCGCGCGGCGAACGGCCGACGGCGAAGGCGAAGCTGGCCAGCGTCGCGGCGGAGGAAATCGTCGAGTTCGATTTCGACGATGAGCCATTCCAAGTTCCTGGGGCGAAGGAGGCGCTGGCAGCGTTCAAGGCCAGCCCCCACTTCGGGCAAATCAAGGAGGCGTTGTACAAGGTCGACGGGAAGCTGGCATCTGCGGCTGCTGCGATTCCTGTTCCCGACCATGGCAATGACGACGATGCACCACCTGGAGAGCCACAGGGAGCAGATGGCACTGCCCCCCATGGAGGAGGATCCATCCCAAGGTCGCGCTGAAAGCGCGGAGCAAAAGACGTCCAGTTCGTGGCCTTGATCAAGGGGGATGTCGAGCAGCTCTGGAAACAGCTCCACAAGGGCGGCCAGCAACCTTCACCATGGACCAAGGAGCAACTCGAGGAGGCCGTCACTAGCGCGCAGAGCACGAAGCACCGCAAGACCGCAGAAGGGTCTGTGCGCACAGGTGGCGGGCGTGGTGGGTGACGCCCGACCTCGTGCCAGCAGGCTCCGTCTGCATGACCCGTGCTCCCCGTGCCAGGAGATCCCAGAGCTGCTCGAGATGACGCGCACCTTCGAGCCGTTCAGCGCGAACAAGGGCAAGAAGACCCTGCAACGGCGGCCTCGACGGTCCACTGCAGTGGTCATACTGGCACAAGAGATTGGGCACGCGATTGGTGACTGCGAGAGCCTAAACTCGCGGTTCGCAGCTCATGGATGGCAATGCTAAATCGTGCCTGGCAGCGCACTGCCCCCTCCGCCACGAACGCTGTATTCCGCGTCGCACGCCCCCTTCCCCCCCCCGCGTCCCCAGCGCCAGAATGGGACCCCCGCGCCGTGGCTCTCTGCCCCGAGCCCCGCCCAATGGCGTCGCGACTTTCGTCACCTCCCCCCCTCCTCTCCCGCCCCTCCTCTCCTGGCTCTCCACCACGAACGCTTTATTCCGCGTCGCGACGCACACCACCTCCCCCACCTCCCTCACCGCGTCCCCAGCGCCCGTGGGGGCTCCACCCAGTGCCCCCTTCCGCCCCGACAATTTTATTCCGCGTCGCGACGAGCGCCACCTCCCACCCCCTCCCCAGCGCCCCAGTTGGACCCCCGCCCCGTGGCCCTCTGCCCCAAGCCCCGCCCAATGCCCCCTCCGCCCCGACCATGTTATTCCGCGTCGCGACGCACGTCACCTCCCCGCCTCCTCTCCGCGCCCCCAGCGCCCCAATTGGACCTTCGCCCCGTGCTCCCTCCGCTCCCAGCGCTTTATTCCGCGTCGCAACGCGCGCCACCTCCCCCCCCTCCTCTCCGCGCCCCCAACGCCCCAATGGGACCTCCGCCCCGTGCCCCCTCCGCTCCGAACACTTCATTCCGCGTCGCGACGCACACCACCCCCCCCCCTCCCTCCCTACCTGGAATTTGGGCCCCGTTGCTGGGCCCCGAGGGGCGATGTCTTGCCCCTTCTTCCCCCCTCCTCCTCCACCTCCGCCGCCTCCCCCTTCCGTTTTGTGCAAGAGCCATGGCACACGTGCCACTTGTTGTTTGAATGGTTTGTTAAATGGTTCATGACGTTCCAGCCTCCAGCTGCGAGTGGCACAGAATAGAAGGAGGAGGAGGAACGGAACGGATGAAGAGGAGGAGGAGGAGAAGGAGAAGCGCCTTTGGGCGCCTGTGGGCGACAGTGATTGCCTTTGTGATGATGCGTCTGGTCGCCCTTCTGGCGGTGTGGCTTTGTGCTCTCCGCGTGCCCCATCCGCTGGAAGGGATGAAGAGGAGGTCCAGCAAACTCTGTACACGACACGGTGTTGCAAGTCAGAGGGCCGACACCCACCGTAACAAACGTGTATCCAGTGTTTAATGTTGCTGTGGATAAATGCGAATTCAGGTATATCGATTCACACATAAGTGGCACACCTGAGCAAACGTGTTGCTTACAGTGGTTGCTGGCCTTCGGACCTGAAACAACATATTTGTACGATTGCTGACAGTCCGAGCCCGCTCGTGCGGAACTCTTTGGTGACTCTATCATTCAGCCTGGTGGCGCTCAAGTAATAACGACCCCTTATACAGAATTCGTTAGCACGAAATCTTCACCAATCATTTTTTAGCAAAGATTCCTCAGTATATATTCCGTGTAAAGGACATTACCAAATAAATATACCTCAGGGAGGACCTTGTACTAGTTTGCCGCAACAAAAGTTCCCGTGGAAACGCACAAGACCTCAATAGGACCCAAACCGATGCCAAGGCGGCCCCGCGACTCCAGTGCGTTTCCAAGATGGCCCCAAAACATAAATCAACCCGACATTGCGGCAAATTCGTGTCGGGACGCCCCTCGCGTTGATTTTCGACACCCCGCGAATCGTTCAACCTCGCACGATCGGCGGCATTCCGATCGCCAAATCGTTCCGCATTGCCGATGCCACTGGCGGCGTTCAAGCTTGAACGCCCGCGGCGGGGTGGCCGTGACGTCAACGCGACGCGAGCCCATCGCGCCCTTAAGGCGACCTGAAAAGGGCCCAGTGATCCGCACATGATGTCGACGTGGCTTCCCGCAGGCCGCTGGGCAACCCAAAGGCGGCCCGACGAATATGCAACAGGCGATCAAAGGATGTCTCAAGGACCATACGATGGCCCCCAAAAGGGCACACAGTGGCCCAAGCAATGCCAGAGCACGACACCATGGCCCTGGCATGGTCCTGATGCGCTCTCGAGATGACACAACGCCAATACGAGATCAAGCTGCGGAATTTGCATCTCGCGCGGAAGCAAAGGGAACCAAACTTTTTTATGGGTAGAGTCTACAACATGACTAGATTGCATCACTGGAGCCGGATCCCAGCCAGGCCGCGCAAAACGAGTGTCTAGCTAGGCTTCTGAGGGGGTAGGGGGGGTTCAATGCCTCCTGGGCCCTCGTTCCCTTCAAGACTGCCGTCGCGGTGAACTCATGTCTGTCGGTGAGCAAGATGCTCATTCGGGCGCACTCGTAAACGTTCACAGGACTTTCGGCACGGCGATTTATGTATTTCTTCAGTAAGAACCCTTCTTCTGAACGACTCCTTAGTAATGACTCATTATTGTACGACCTTTTCCTGTAAAAGATTACTCATTACGGATTCTACAGTGAGGACTCTTTTGTTAAGGATTATTCAGAGAGGATTCCTCACTCAGCATTCCGAATCGAAAAATCCTTAAGAAGGCTCTGTAAAAAGTAGGCCTTCGGTTAGGATTCCTTCGTAAGGATTCCGATACCTCTTGCTCGTGGCTCCTCGTGTCAAGCCGAATGGCCAACACTCATTGAAAAGAGGTGGCTCTGAGGGCCAGCAACCACTGTAACAACCATGTGTGTCAGGTCTTTCTGAAAAACTTGACACACTTTTTCAGGCTTTGGTGGAAGTATGCGCTCTCAGGCTGACAGGCTCACAAAGGCATGGGACACCGAACGCGATGCATGTGTAGTGCAATTACTGCTGGCCCTTGGACATGGAAAACTCGTGTATTCACAATGGTTGTTCGTCCGAGCCCGCTCGTGCGGCACTCTGTGGGAGCTCTGTCATTCAACCTGGCGGCGCTCAAATAACAAACATTCCGTATCAAAAAGGATGCATTAGTACGGGCTCCGTCGGGATTTCCTCGGTAACGATCCTGCCTGAAGGATTTGTCAGTAATGACTCTTTGTTAAGAAGTGCGTTTGTAAAGGATTCTGCGTTGCGGATTCTACAGAGAGAACTCTTTCGTTCAGGAACAGTCAGGAAGGATTCCGTACTAAGGATTCCTCACAGAGATGTCCTTAGGAAAGCTCTGTATGAAGAACTCTGCAGTAAGAGTTACTGAGTAAGGATTGCATGGCAAGCGCCCGTCGCTAAAGATGTTCTGAGTAATGTTTCCTTCGTTAAGATTAGTTCAAACGAATGTGTTGGAAATGGTTCATTTAGACGGGTGCCCTTGGCAATGATTTGTCCGTAAAAACTACTGAGTCCCACCAGCCCTTTAGGGCGTAAGTAGTTTCGAGCGCTTCCTCTTCCAACCCTTTGTTCGTAATTTTTTGCGGGGGTTACCACTTATAGCTCTAAGGTACAACACTCTCCCCAAAGCGACCGGCAGCCAACCAGGACCAATGTCAGCCCCCCCCCTCCCTGTAAAAGAGTACATGCACTGTTTTTGTTCACCAGGTCAGCGGGGGTGCCCTCATATTGCCTGCTTTGCGCTCGCGGCCGATTCTGGATCATGCGCGGCCACCCCCCGATCACTGTCCATAGTTGTTTGACAAGGCCAGCGGAGTTGCTTGTTGCCTGCTGTGTGCAGGTCCACCAGACACCACTATGGCCTCCCCGCCGCGATTGCGCACTGGTTTTCAACAAGGAGGGTGGGGACCGACATGTTTCCCGATGTGTGCTGTCACGTGCACGGGTGCACCTGGCACACTCTGCGCGTGTCCCAGACGTGATGCACCTGGCGCGGCTGGACCATGCGGCACACGTGGCGCACGTGGAGCACGTGGTGCATCTGGGGCGCGAGGCGTGCCTGGCACGCTTGGGCCCCAGGAGTGCCTGGCGCACCTAGAGCGCCTGGCACGCGTGGCGCACCTCGGCCCATCGCGCACATGGCGTCTGTGCTGGTTCCCACTAACTGCCCATCCATGCGACCACTGAACATGCTAAGGCTGGGTGCTACTTATGTGTTGGGAGGGCGGTAGGGAATGAGCGAAACGGTTTGCGGGCGGGGAGGGTATCTTGACCCCTCCCCCTACCCCCTACCCGTGGACATGGACGGGGGGGTCCGCGAGGCGTTGGAGCGTCCAAGATGGCATTGGCTCGAAGGCAAAACTCATTGCTCGTATTTTTGTCACGGCCCGCGCGTGCCTGCGAAGGGGCACTGACGCCCCTCGCCCACGAAAGATCCTACAGCGAGCGCCGATCTGAGCCGAGAGGCGGGATGGACTTCAAGAGCCAAGGCGACCACGGGGCCTCCGCGGTCGGGGTGGCTCTCCTGGATGGCGGCGAGCTAGATGCCTAGCGCAATCGAGACCCGGTGGAGAAACGCGTCGCGGCAGCAGACTCAGTCCACAGAGCCAGAGCGGCTGTAAAAAAGGCGCGTAGCAACGGCGCAAGTGGTTCGCAGACGCGTACCATCTACGATGCAACGTCCCCACTTTCCCCCTGTTATCATACGAGGCATAGGGGTGAGAGGGTCTAACTAGACTAAACAACGAGAGCGGCAGTAGGCATCCTTGCCAGCGGTCCACCCCGCACGAGGGCAGGACCTCTGACACTTGCGGGCTAGGCTGCGGCGAGAAATCTATCGCGATCGCTGGTGGGAAAATCTCATTCCTTGTTTGACTTCAGCCCGTATTCTGCACGAGGCAGCTGCTGCGTCGCCAACGCGTATTCACTTCGCGCGCGCGCAACCCACCAGCGGGGAAGCTCCGCCGTGTATTAACCATCACGCCACTAAAAAGTTGTTACCGCTCCCCCCTCCCCGCGCAGGCCCCTCCTCACAGCGCCGCGCGCCCGCGCAGGCCAGCACTCCCTGCCCACCCCAATTGCGCACAGCAGGCCTGCGCACATTGTCTACAAAAAGGAGGAAACCTGGAGGGAATTCATACCGAGCTGGGCTGCCGGTCAGAGGCGCCCTCATCACCTGAGCAGCAGCTCGCTCCAGCTGCGCCATGACGCGGAGGAGGAGGAGGAGGAGGAGGAGGACGAAGAGTAAGAGGAGCAGCTGTAGAAGGAGGAGAGGAGC